TCTGGGTTAAAATGACCATAATAAAAAAATCTAGCACTGCAGCATATGCATTATAATAAATCATGCCATGCACTCTCTCACTGCGTCAGCACAAAGTATGAAACAGAGCTTTTAAGTTGTAGGAAAAGTGGTTAATGTCCAGGGAGTTTAAGTTACTTGTTAAGGTTATAAACTAACACGTTAAGAAAAGCCTAATGCCAGGTCTCTGATATTCAAAATGCTCACTTAAATAGAAAACATGCATACTTAGGATGTTAGACTGATTAAATGCCTACAAATTGCATATATCTAAAAAAAAACTTTTAAACACATAATTAAATGTTACTTTTAATGTTCATTTAAATTGTAAACATTGACATAGAATCACGTAAAAGCTTGGAAGTTAAGATTCTACCAAAAAGCAATGCTCTTTTTGTTTGTTTGTTTGCTTTCTTTTTCCAAAATAATTGTCTATTTTTTCACTGGTCTAGCACGAAACACGTGGGTGTTGTGGTTACTAGTGTCTAATCAAACCCACTACATTTGCAATGAAAATTTAAAAATAAAGATTGGCACCAGTAAACATCAGGTACAAGTTCTGAGCTTTGACTGATGCATAACTTTGAAGCAGGAGCTTTCTTGAGAGAGAAACTTCAGAGAGAGAAACCCTCAGCTTTTCTTCTTTGGTAGCTAAAGATGCTTTGAAGAGATCTTAGGAGGTTTATTTGCTAGTAAAATTAACAGGTAAAACCTGTGTTCATATAAAACCGCTTTAAGGGAGAATGAATGGGAGGGCTATAGATTTTGTATGGAGCAGCTAAGCCGATTGGGATATTAACTTTTAAAGAAAATGTGACTCTGTCCTTTGCTTTTTCCAGAGGTCACCTGTAGGCCAGACATTACAGGTCTGAAATGACATAAGATGACCTCGTGAATAATTTGTATTCTAACTCCATGAACTTCAATTTCAAAGTTATACAGAATTTCCCAGCATAAAAGCCAGATCTAAGAAATTTACATTTTTGTCATGAACAAGAGGAAAAGATAAAGGGGTGTATGCTATATGGGGAATTTCAGTGAATGGTAGCTGTGCGGCGGACAGCTGACGTACTTGAGCCATCTGTTCCATGCTTAGTCTTTCCCAGAGTCCACCAGCTATTCTCGTTTGCATAAACTGTTTACTTTACAGAGTACAATCCCCAGAGCAACATAAAATTTTGTCCAAGAAAGCTATGCCTGTCTAAATTGCAGAGTGACTTCTTAACCAGTTAATCATGATGTTTAGATTGGCCTTTTCTCAGGGGACTGTAGAATCAAACCCGTTTCGAGCATTTTAGATATTAGTACCTTGGAGAAATAAAATACGGGTTTGCTTTTGTACCACAGTCAGGCGCTATCATCGCTGGTCCAGCATGAGGCGTTTGAAATTTGTAGACACTCAGAAGTCGACTCAGTTTCTAATGATGTGATCTGCTCGTGGACAGAAAGAGACAGTCACATTGATGTGTCATCACTGTTTTCTCCTAACTTTATAATATCTTAAAGATGCAACATGCCAAGAATTTAAATGAGACATGACTTGGTTTATATAGTTCAACAGTAACAACAACAACAACAAAAAAACCACAAAATTTTAAAGCTCATTTTTGATAACTCTAAGTTAGTGACTTTCTCCTTGATTCCTATTTTCTGCAGTTGAAATAAATTTTCTCTGTAGATTTTTTTTTATATTACTTCAACATTTAAGCTTTGTAATATTTTCTTTTATTTTTCCAAGTAAGAAATAAATTAATCCAGGCATGAGATTTTAAGTGAAAATGTTTCTTCAAACCCTGAAACATCCTTTCTTATGCAGTTTTCATCATCTCTGAGGAAGGTGTTCAAGAAGATCACAGTGAGCACCCTCAGGCCTGCAGACAGACAGGGAAGGAAGGTGCACTCAGTTCAACTAAATCAGGGAGGTGGCCACAGGGAAGGCAAGGGAAGGAGGCTTATCTTTTTGAATCCATAGGGATTAACTTTTGTTTCTACACAGGGCTATTTTAAACATTTTAAAGGCTGTTTGTGAGGAAAATGTCTATTTTTATGTCTTTAAATTATTCTGAACTTTTTTCAAAATTTAATTTGGTATGCAGGACTCAGTTAAAAAAAAAAAACGAAAGTGTAAAACCAAAAGTAATTGCAGTATGTGCATATGAGAGCAGAATGTGTGGAATCCTTTCAAGTTCACCATGGAAAAATACCCCCACATACCTCTTAGGATAAAGAGATTACATGGTCCCTAGCTGGAAGGATCTTACACCTTCTTCTCCCTTTGACTCAGTGATCAATAGCTCTGAAAGCTTATGCAAAAGCCTTCCAAGGAACAGCTTGAAAGACAAAGTGAAGCAAGTTTGAATTTGCAAAAAGTACATAAATGCAACCCAAATAAAAGACTAATGGAAAACAATGGAAAGACTCAAAAGGACTGAATTATGTTCTAAGGAATGGCATGTTCAGACAATAGTTTCTAGTACAGGCTTTAGAGGAAAGAACAACTGTGGTAATACAAACGCTTACATTTTTAGAAAGCAAAATAGCAAATATTAAGTGACATTAAGAAAAATTTACAGTCATTTTCATAAGGCTAGACATTAACAATCTTTTGGAAGAGGAAGAATGGAAAGAAAATGTTTCTTCCACATCTTGATGCAGAAACTTAGCTTTCCTGATACTTCATCACCAGTCTTGTAAAATACAGCATACCACAAGGACTGTTTCAGAAATGCCATTTGATCTACTGGTTATATTTACTGTTTAATAAAATGTTCTCATTTTGAATTGTTAACCTATATTTTGTAAAGGTTTCATATTGAATGTTGTGAAGGTGTTTGCCAGCACTATTTATACTCTTTGAGAAGCAGGAATGGATATTTAAGAAAAAAAAAAAAAAAAAACAAAAAACTTTGGTTTACACTGTAAAACCTGAAAATAAAATATCCATGAGGCACTTTTTTAGAAGAGTCAAATGTTTTTCCAGTTTTTAATTCCTCCTGTTTTTCCTCCCTCTCTCTTTATATAATATGGATGCAATAACTTCCTATTTATAAATTTTGATGGCTTGCCTAATAACAGCTCTTCCCTTTATTCTTTGCACTTCCAAGTTTGTCCTATTAAACATTTCTAGCTCCATGATCAGTTTCTCCATTTAATGCCACGTGCCTGGCTAAACTGGTTCAGACGTGTCATTCATGATGGGAGCTCTTTCTTCATTCTGGAAACTGTTTGAACAGCAGCTAACCTTGAAGCCAGGCCACTCTCAGGGCACATTAAGCTCTTGCTGATGCTCAATGCTGTAAGGAAAGCTGAAACCCTGTAATCACTTCCCACATCTCAAGTTAGGTGTAACATTTAAATTCTAAGATGACCTGCCAGATGGACATTTAATGCCTGAAATGTGTTGTTTGTTTTCCAGGAAACACTGGTTGGTATGGAGCAGGCGTGCTTACCTGCATTGTGCTTTTATGTACTGAGCACTTTCTCCAAGACATAATGTTAGAACAGAAGAAATATATATTTTTTTATATATAATGACAGACTTCAAAAATTGACCTCCACTGAGTGCAAGGCAGATGCAGAGTATGCTTAGCTCAAACTTGAACAGATGTCTGTACTGGGAGTAGCCATATTTTCACAAAATAAATTATAATGTCATGAGGGCTTGTGCCTTCCTTTCTTGATAAAGTTCCTGCTGCGTTAGGGTGTAGGAAACTTGTGGTTTTAAAACCCTCCAGCCACTTTAGGGTTAAGTTTTTGTGTCAGGAAAGGAAGGCATCAGCCAAGCACAAACTCTTAACTTCGAAGATGGAAATTATAAATTACATTGGTTTTCCTGGTAGCATTGTTAAAACTAATGCATTTTTCCAGAATTGAGGTATATCTGCATGGAAAAAAATAATGAGAATATTTTAAATTAATTTGTGTTTTTTTTATAAAAAATAAAATTTAAGATGTAAATTCATTGACTAATTGTTAAATTTGACAGGAACTGATAAGAGTTTTTGGCTTTTTTTTAAGATTCTTAATTTTCAAAAAGACAGTATATGCCTCAAGCTTATCCAAGGCAAATGACTAGGCTTGTTCCAAGTTCTGAAACTTACTGACTGTGTGTGTGTGTGTGTGTGGTATGTGTGTGTGTGTGTGTGCCTAAAATAACATTATCCATTCATGTAATCATAAAGACTATTATGTAATTACTAGAATGCAAAGAAATTGAACAAACAAAAACTAAATCTTGTAAAGAGGACCTTAATGAGCTGTAAAACCCCTCCCCCACCCGAATACTGTAGGAGGGAGGCAAAGCAGGCAATGGATATAAGAATTAAAAAGATGATACGCATAGCATGGTGGACTTTTCCTTCTGGAACGTTCTCTAATACTCGACTTCTGTACTTTTTGTGCCTTCCAATTGCCAGCTGGAATGATCCGGTGAAGAATGGCCTCTCCCGGGCTGCAGGCTGCTCACAGTACATTCTGGTGAGATAATAGCATAGGGTCGTTCTAGTTGGAGCAGTTAACAACTGGTTAAGCGCCTTTTCCCTCCAAGGGCTGTTTTCATCGCCCAAAGCAGTCACTCCCCACCAATGCCATTCCTTCTCCGTCTTTAAGGAGGCTTCAACTTCCTCCTCAAATCCCTCGCCCCTGCCCCAGAACAAACGCCAAGACCCTGTATCTGTCCTACCCTCCTTGCACAAAACCATCTGATCTGGCGAAGCCCGAGCCTGCTCACTAGGGTAAAGACGGACTGGCGAGCAAGAGATCTGACAGGGCACCCCTGGCTGGCAGGTGCTCAGCCCCGGCGCACACAGTGTTAAAGGCATCATCGCAGCCATTAGAGGCAAAGTTGGGCGCCGCGCGAGCCCAGTCCGCGCCGCCCCGTGCCCGCTCCACTCGCCGCCGGCTCGCTGGGCGTGGGGAGGGCGGCGAGCACGCAAGCCGAGCGGCTGACGTGGGACGAGCTGCCAGGTAGCGGAAGCAGCCAGCCGCCCGGCGGAGACACTTCGCAGCGCGGCAGCTCTGCTCTGCGCCCGAAGCCTGCGGATCCCAGCCAGCTCGCCCCGACCTCGCCAGTCGCAATCCCCAGTGCCCAGGCTGGTCTTCGCTGAGAGCGGCAGCATGTACGCAGTGTCGCACCCCGGGCTCTGAGAGCAGCCCGTGGACACGCTTGCCTGCCTGTCTTTTTAGGTTTTGGGGCTCTCGGCTACACGGATGTGCCCCCTTCCCTTGGCATGATGGGGATCTTTTTGGCGTCAGTTGGATTTGTGTTCTTTTCCGTGCTGTATGTACAACAAGGGCTTTCTTCTCAAGGTAAGTCCGTTGCTTGTAATGTGTTTGTGGTGATGCGTGTGTGTGTGTGTGTGTGTGTGTGTGTGTGTGTGTGTGTGTGCTGTATCAACTCGAAGAATGGACAGACCGCTGGAGAGTGGCTCAAACCAAGCCAATAGTGGGTTTAGGTAGTATGAATAGTGTTCAGTTCTGCTTTTTTTTTTTTTTTTTTTTTTTTTTTTTCTTTCTTTCTTTCAAAGTTTACTAATTGCAAGCAAGCCAGGTTTTAGAGAAAATCTAGTAGACGCCAGCCTGGCAATGAATGAGGAGCGATGAATGTGGTCCTCAGTGAGCGCATACACAGGTGTGTGTGTGTGTGTGTGTGTGTGTGTGTGTGTGTGTGTGTGTGTG